GAATGCGGATGCCCTCAAGTCCCCTACAATCCCAATTCCCACATCCAGGCAGCACTTCCTCTCTTCAGTCTCCCCCTTAGTCTACAAGTGCGGCCTCTTTAAAATAATATCAGCCGGGCCAGTGAGACAGCTCAGAGGACTAAGCGCCTGCTTTGGCAAGTGCAGGGGCAGGGGTTGCTCCATCCCAGGTCTTGCACATCACGCTGGCCCCACCCCTGGGGCGCACTGAGCCGTCAACCGAGTCCAGGTCCCTGGCTGTGCATGCGTGTAATCCCAGCGCTGGGGAGGCTAAAAACAGGAGTATCACTATGAGTCCAAGCTGTGTAGTGAGACCTTGCGCCAAAGACGTAATAAATGAAAAATAAAAAATAAAGAATGAATAAAATAAAATAACATCAACCTTTTTCTGCGAGGATAAAAGCCACACAATTTTTCCTGGTATACAAGGTCTTACGTGGGGTCTGGTCTCTGTTCCATGCCAAACTGCTTTTTAAATCCACCACATTCTCATCTGAAGGCCCTGCCAAGCATGACCTCTCCATAGAGCTCTGTATCTCCCTGCAGGCTAATTTGAACTCACACCTTCGACGACTCGACTCGACTCGGATCAGAACTTACTGCCTCTACAAACCCTGGCCAGCCTTCGATGTGAAGGGAGGGAGGGTCACAACACTGTGTTATCTAGTTACTTGCCTAGATTGTGAACATAAATTTTATTTGTGAAATTGCTGCACTCTGGAAATGAACACAAGCTTCTCTCATTAAAAAGTACTTAATGTTGGGCCAGCCAGATAGTTCAGCGGACTAAAGTGCCTGCTTAGGCAGAGTGCAGAGGCCAAGGGTCCATCCCCAGGGTGCCACGCAGGCCCTGCCCCAGGCGTGCATTGAGACTGGTGTGGTGGTGAGTGCCTGTAATCCCAGCACTTGGGAGGCTGAAAACAGGAGGAACACTACGAGTTCTGTCTGTGCAGTGGGACCCTCTACACCCTATACTACACACATTAGAGAAAAAGTACCTAATGTTAAATGACAACTTAGAATAGGTATCAAACATAGATGTGTATTTATTTTTTATACGTATAAAAATGGACCGATGAGCTTCCAACTGTTATTTTAAAGGTATTTTCAACAAATTCAATCTCCTATCATCACTATCTTATAAAAGAAGGGATAGTTGCACAAAAACACAGGAGGGACATTACTTGAGAATAAAAGGAAATCCTCCCAAGTTATCAAGGATGAGGACAATCTCAGAGCTACCCAAGGATTATGATTTTCTATAAGGCCAACATTTGCAGGAAAGGGCTGATACTCTTCTCCAAAGCATCTTTTCATTGAGGTCTTTGATACAGGCCAAAGAATTAGATCATTAACAAAAGGAAATATTTTGTAAGGTGGCCTAGACTAAGGACATACTAGGATTCTCTACTGCGGGTGAGGCTAGATCTACATGCTTTGGTAACTAGAGGAAACAGTGGTAGCTTTGACAATCTCTTATGAAAAGTGAGCATATTCTTTAATCCTCACACCCCGCCATTCGCTTCATAGCCACCATTTACACCACATCATTCAGCCTTGGTTGGCAGCTAGGACATGCCTGCAGTGAAATATGAGCCTGCTCTTCTTTCCACCAGCTTTCTATCAGGCTAGATATATCCACAAGGCCTTTGCCTCTGGCTCCACGTCAGGAGCAAAAGCAACCCAAGGACGGGGTTCACAGGCAGCACAACTGTGCTGGGTTGTGCATCTAGTGAGTGCAAATGCATCTTTTCAGGCCGTCCTTTGCTTACTCACTTTGAAGTAAATCTGTATAATTGTTTTCTGCTTAGTTTAGGTGAAGTTTGAAACCTTCAGGATGAGGAGCTCGGATGCCGCGGGGCGGGTCCTGGATGATGGACCTTGAGTCGTGCTTTGGGCCACAGAAGAGGACAATTTTACTCCATGGTCTACCCCTAAGAGCTCTTCTTGGTCGTGTGCCATTTATTTGACTACACATACTAAATATAAACGATCTGCCAGTAGTGAGATAATTCCATGGAGATATTTTTTCTTTGACTCTAGGACCAAGACTTTGCTAAGTATTAAGCAGAACACAATTATATGCTTAGCACTTCTGAAGTATGCAAATGTTTTTTAAATAAAATTTTAGGAAAGCGAGGAATGCAATTTCTTGGTTATCCTGACCCTATCTCTTAGTCTTCTCTTTATGTTTCAAAAGGATTTATAGCCCATGATATTTGCAGAAGAAAATACAGAGGCAAAAAACGTAGTAAGTGAATTGAAAGTGTATTAAGCGAATTTCCATATACATCATGAAAGGGAAAAGAAAGCAACAAAGACGATGTAAGCTTGGGATTTTGAAACTTAAGGCAACCAGACTAGCGTAATTGTTTTCTTACTATGACCTTGTATGACAACAAAAGAAAAACATGCAAAATTATGTCCAGGGGTAAAGTTTTCTTCTGGAGTTATAAGTCAAGTAGGATCTTATTTCATTGGGGCTTACACAGGGCCTCAGGAGTAATCACCGGCACCAGGTACAATTTATAGAAATGCTATTTTAAAAGCCTTCTCATAAGAATACTTTGTAAAGGTTAAGGCTTAACATTAAATTAAAACTCATGGAAAGCATTTCAAGTTGGGAAGGGATCTGAGACAAGAGCCCAAATAAATGCCATGGGACTGACTCTTGCAAATAGCTGATAGCATAAGCCGCCCTCTAGCAGGTGTTGGGGGTCAGTCTGCTAATGATTGAATTCTCAACAAGTATGTGGAGGGCAAAAATTCTGTTCCTAATTTAGAGTCACGCGCTCAGCCCCAGCCTTGGGCTCCAAGAATACGAATCTCTAATGGGCATCAGAGGCCAGCGACCCATCCATGTTTCTAATGCTCTTCACGGGCTTCTCAGGATGTACATAAAGTGCTTCCTCAGTGATCAAGCAGCCCCAAGCTCGAACTGTCCACCACTCAAACAGCGAAAGTCGAAAACAATCTACTCAAGAGTTCATAACTTTGCTTGATAACTGAACTGAAAATCCAAGTTGAAAAAGCTTATGTGGGCCAAGAGCGAGTCACATCATGGCTCTCCCGAGACACAAAGGGGTAAGTGATGTTTTGGGAAGAGCACCACTCTCACTCGGCTAACACACAATGCTTGCTTCAGCACATGAAAATGTCAGTCACCGAGCTTTTATCTTTTTTACACTTTCTTCATGTAAAATATTATAATGCTGGCTCCCAATTGTGACACCAGCAGGAAAGCTAGGAGGAAAACTGGGAGAACCACAATGGAATTCAAGATAGAAATCATGACAAAATGTGTTAACTTCTTGGGAAGATGAATTTTAAGTGTAATTCTGGGGTTTAGAATACGTTATTCAGTTTGCTGGTATTTCTTATGAGAAAACTATGTTTAGGTCTTGAACTTTTTGGTGTTTGAACATGAATGTGAATGAACTGAGTTCGACCACTCTGAGGGACCAGCGTACTTGGGAAGCACTGCTTTAGGCCAGAGTCTGGTTCACAGAATTGTTCAGTTCATCTCAGTGCAGTTCAGGCTGTAAAAGTGGAGTGTGCACTCCTCAGGAACCAGCAGGAAGTAGGGCTCTGCAGAGCTCCCCCAGTGGCTGGGCTTCGCAGTGTTTCCTCCAGCACTTGCTGCGAGTTGTTCTAACAATCCTCAGGGAACACAGTGAGCAAACTCTTGGAAGAGGTTCCTGAGTGCTTTCAGGAGGAGTCCCCTATCATTCTGCTCCGTGGTTATGCCATTTTAAATTACTCAGTAGGAGAGAGATCCACGCTGTTAACTCTGCAGTGAAAACTTAAGCTTTAGAGTTATGTTTTCACACTAAAAGCCCGCTAGCACAGAGACAGGAGATAAAGTGACTACTGTCCTCAGAGCACTTCTCGGTGTGCTCAACTGACATTAAAATCCGCTGCTATCACTCTGAAGATAAAACTTAATTCTAAAATTTGTGAGCTGGACTTTATACATCACTGCTTTCCGCACCTCCCTTCAGACCTCACTTCTGTATACTTGCATCTTTTCTGTTCTTTCAACAAAGTTCTGCTTTAAGGATGCCCAGAAATCGAATTCTTACTAATTGGGCTACTCTAGTTAATTCCAGGTATCTTCAGTCCAAAAGCGTTCCCAGGAGGACTATGGGGGAAGGAGGAGGGAGAACTGGAGTAGGCTGTGCAAAATGTGATTTATTCCATACACTGTACACTGTAGGATGAGAGAGAAAGCAATTCTGCACCAATCTACAGATGAGAAATGAAAGGTGAGAGTTCGACTTGATATTAGCATTGATGCTTTCAATTTACCCAGAAGGGAGTGCTCTGCCACTTCAAAGGACACAAGTCACACGTTGTATTTGCACTTCAAGAGAACTGACAAATTCCTTTCAAATGTATTTAATCCTCACAACAACCCTGTGAGAAAGGGTTACCCCCAGTGGAAGAGAAGAGGAAATGGAGGCACAGAGGGGTTTCCCATTTGCCAATGTCACCCAGCATATGAGTGACAAGGCCAGGCTCTAGGCTCTCGTGTCACAGGAATGGGTTTCAAATTCACTCCAGCCATCAGTCACCAACACATGGTGGAAAGAATGTGAAAGGCCAAGAAATAGTTTCCTAGAATAAGATTACAGCAGTCGGTGCATCCTTCTACACTTGATAACTTGGGCATCAATTTCCACTAAAATTCACAGCCCTAAATAATCAGCTTTACCGAAGGTAAGAAAGATTTAGTGTGCCGATCCAGGAGTCTCATCTGGATCTGCAATTGGGTATCACAGGACCTAGGTTCTGAGAGTTAAAAGCCTTGACACACGCGCTCTGTCAATACAAAAAATTGCTAGCATGTCCATATCTTTGTAATATCCATTTCTTATTAAAAAGAAAAATGCAATAGGCTATTTTCTATCTCTAAGAAGTTTGATAATTTCACCATATTAAAAACATCCATATTTAAGGCAATGAGATAAAGGTCTGCTTACCCCTCCTTCATGTCGTTAATGGGAAGCGGCACCCTGCCGCCCCTGTCCAGGGCTGACGTGATGTTGATGGCATTCAGGCGCTCGGGCTGCCACACATTTTTCACTGCCCCCAGAAAGTCTCCGAGAACCTCACTGGCTAACATTTCTTCCACATTCATATTTTTAATGAAGAATTCTGCTTGATATGGCAATGGGAAGTCTAATTGTGGTAAAACAAAAAGAGGGCATGCATGTCTTTAATGAAGTAGTTTTTTGAAATGAGAAACAAAAGGGCAATTTGGGATTTGTGAGGTCTGGTCATAAACCCTAGCAGGAGGGAGCAGCACGCTAACAGTCTGTTCTTTATACCTACGGGTTGCGCATGCTCAGATTATACGGACTGTGGAACCAAGATGCTTTTAGTTTTTAAGTCATGACTGTACCGAACATATACAAACTGTCTCTCATCGCTATTTCTTAAACAATACCATGTATCCACTACTTACACAGCATTTTAACTGTATGAGATAGACATAACCTACAGATGATGTGAACAGGAGGATGTATACAGGTTAAGGCCAAGTCTAGGGCTTTTCTATAAGGGCTCCAAGCAAGTTCGCAGACCTTAGTTCCCACAGGGTCAAAGAATCAAGGTCAGTGAATACTGAGGAAGGACTGTGCTAACTTTCAAGGTTTTCTATAGAACAGATGACTGATCTCAAAATGCAGTATATAAGTAGACACAATATACAGAACACACACAGTGGTCTAAGAGCCTGCCTAGGCAAGCGCAAGGATCTGGGTTCAATTGCTGGGACTGCATGCCGTGCCGGCCCCGCTGCTAGCACGCTAAACTGGCCACCAAGACCAGGCATGGTGGTGCACCCTTGTATTCCCAGGCTGAAACAGGACGATCACTATGAGTCCAAGTTGCGTAGTAAGACCCTATACCAAATACATTAATAAATAAATGATTCAATTTTTTTAATTTTAAGAGAATACTACTTAGAGTAGTTAAATCATTATTTTTTTCTAAAATAAGTATTGATTATACATCTAATAAGAATTCTTTTTTAATGTATTTGGTAGTTATATTCTTATCAGTTTGAAAGGAATTTTTCAGCTCTCTTGAAGTGCAAATACAGTAGGTGACTCGTGTCCTTTGAAGTGGAGGAGCCCTTCCTTCTGGGTTAATTGAAAGCCTCAATACTAATATCAACCTTATATTCTAATTAGAATTCTAAAGGTAAGAGCAATTTTATTGTGATCATTCTATAGTTAAATATCCTAGAAAATTATAGCTCTCATGAAATTCTGTATCATATCATTGTAAATTTATTTTCAGCTCAAGTCTCATCAAAGTTCTCCTTTGAACATTTCTAAGTTATTGTTCTACATCAGTGAATCCCAAAATTCACTTTCAACGTAAAAGATTCTCAGTAAATATAAAAGTACTTGTTTCTCAAGTGTTACTCATAAATTACTAATCATATTTGGTAAATGATAAAAAAAACTAGCTTTTGCTTTATTTCATACTACTTTTGTAACAATAAAGATTAAGTTTTAAGACATATTGATAATGAAGTAGGCCAGGTTGTAAGACAGAGGTAAACTAGAACATTTCATTCTCACATAAAGCAGGTGAGCAGGTCCTGGTACCTTTCCTATAGCTGAAAATAAGAAGCGTATCTTCAGAGAGGTCCAAGAACCTACGTCATGCAATTAGTCTCTATACTAAGGGAGACTGCCTAACAAATTCACAGCAGTGCCCTAAAACACAGATTTTACACGAGATTAAAATATTACATTGTTATACAGCATGAAATGATCATTTATCTGAATTCACTAAAAAGACAAGCGAACTTTCCTGGACTATACACAAATCTAAAGTCCCCCACAGAAATCATACTGTGCATATTCTCTGATTTACTTCAACAAAATCCTTATGGATTCTCTGTAAAGCCTTCTACTCCCAAAAGCAAATAATAATAAAAAAAATACATGGTAAGCACCCCAAATAAGACTTTACTCCTTTAAAAGTCCCTCTGATATTAAAGCATGTACAGCTTTTAAAAAATTATTAGTGCTACTGTGTAGAATACTGTTGTTTGGCTTTTCCTGACCCATGAGAGCTTGCTCCGAGGCTCCCTTTTGGAGACAGGCCATGAGCCTGTTACTGCACCCAGCTCCTCAGAACTCTGGGCCATGCACTTGCCTGCTTGATCCTGGGCCAGGCGCTGTTGCCAGGCCTCCCAGAGATGAGTCACCGCAGCTTTCTAACCCTGGGGAAATCCCAAGCTTGCTATATTTGGAAGTCACATTGGCCAAGAGAACAGTAGGCCAGCAGACCCATGCACAGCAGGCTTGGGAGGTGCTAACCCACAGTGAATCTCTCCATGTGCTCTCCTTGAGTTGCATGCTGGGTGAGTCTACATGACCAATTTCTCACTCGGTCTCTCAGAACAGGAGACAGTTGGGCAGGGAACTGGACTGAACATGATTACCCTGACTTACAATAGTTATTTCTTTTTTTTTGAAACCTTATCTGGGACAAATAGCATGAATGAAGGCTGTGCTCAAAGATGCTCATTCCAGTGTGCATACAGATTTTGTCTAGACTACCAAGCACACATGTATGATCTTTAAGTGTTCCACATACTGAATGATGGAGGAGCTCTGTCAAACAGGGAGGGTTTCCATAACTATTTTACTGCACACCCTTCAGCAGCACAGCTTCAAACCCCTGACTCAAGACAAACAGTCCCTAACACCACCCCTTGACCACTGCGTGGTCTAGCAGTTTTCCACTAACATCTTCTTGATCAGGGGCTCCCTTCCATCAGTGAAGAGGCCTTGTGCTCTCTACTTCAACAACGAGACAAGTCTGGAGAAGGAGGAAGAGCAAGGTGTGACAGAGATATGAGTTCCTCTGAGAGCAACAGAGTGGTGGCCAAAGCCCACTGAAATATAGCTGTATAACGTGATTCACAGCCAAGGAGAAGTAAAACTTTACCCTTATTCTGTTTATAAGGGCATTCCAATGCTACAGAGTCAGGGGGAGTGGATATGAGTATCCACTCACTACTGTCATCAAGACCAAAACTTTCCCTGATCCAGAAATGAATACCTACTAAAAGAGCTAGGAGGGGCTGGGGGGATGGCTCAGTAGAATAAGCGCTTCCCTGGCAAGTGCAAGGGTCTGAGTTCAATCCCCAGTTCTGCAAAAATAATTTAAAAAACAAAATAAATAAAAGGGCTAGGAATGGGGAGATGGGTAGGCACTCCTCTATGCAGGCCCACAAAACTGGCCCTCGGATCTGCTGTTAATAGGTGAAGAGCACCTTAAGCTTTTAACTTGCGCATCTGTTGTCTATAGCTGATACTGTCCCTGCAAAGAATTCACATAAGGGACTTCAAGTTTCCTAGCAGTCTCTCCATGTAGGCACTACCAAATGTACTGAATTTTCCTAAATTCCCAATTAGTAGATCCTGGTTAAATGTACTGTGTTTTGCTTATTTGTTTTTAATTTTACAAGCAAATATAACCAAAAATTCCCTACTGCAATTACTCTACCACTTTCAGAGGGAATAAATTCTGTACCACTTCTTCCTTCTTCCATTTCACAAATAACATCAGAGTGTAGAGAGGGTTGTCTCATGATCTGTTAATTTTAACTAGCTTTTAATAGTGTGTATTTTTTCCCAGACATGTGTTAAACGAGGTCAAGACATTTGAGAGCATAACACTTGGGATATTTCCTTTGTCCCTAATCTTTAAAATTTTTACAAAGTCACTTCAGAATTTGAACACGTGCAACTCTGAATTGTTCCGGGAGTCTAACAATTGGGCCAAATTAGATTATTTAGCGAGGAAACTATGTCCAAAATTTTTAGTTTATCCTTATATAAATAGAATCTATGGTAAATGTTTTTAATAATAAAACTACCTGGACATTACTATGTACTCTCTGACCTTTTTTAGCACATCTGAAGGCTTCATTCATGACAGAAAATTTATTGTTGGCTCATTTTTCAGATGAAGAAGCCAAGGACTTGAGACTCAGCGGTCCATCTGAACATACCCCCACCTTGATTCTTCACCATAACTCACCACGATATTTGATAAAAAATTAGGTATTACTTGATTTTTTTTCCTGCATGTTACTACTGCATAGGTTATATTAGGTATGTGATGCCTTAAAATCCCTAACTATATTTATAGTTACAAAATATAACTGTACTTATAAAATACAGTTATAAATACAAGAAATGAAGTATTTCTTATAAATGAGGAAATTAACCTTTTTTTTTTTTTTTTTTGCACATTTGCTTCCCTTAGTACTTAAGTTTGCTTTGCAGTTACTTTAATTTTTTTTTTTTGGCGGAACTGGGGATTGAACTCAGGCCCTTGCGCTCACCAGAGAAGCACTTATTTTACTGAGCCATCTCCCCTGCCCCTAAATGAGGAAATTATCAACATATTTTTCCATACCCACCTTCTGCTGACATTATATTAATTATCAAATTATGCCTTGCGGTCTCAAAGGTGCGTCTATTGTAGGCAGTTATCTATTAGAAAAGGAAAATCGTATTAAAGAAGTAACATGCTCCTTTGAAAAACGAAATTTGTTAACCATAAAAGTAAAAACAAACTGTATTTTTCCATTTTCAGTATCTGTTGTTACACTTAAAAAGTATTCCTTTTCTAGGCAATAAAACCTCAGGGTTTAAACAATATTTTAGGAAAAGAAATAATTAGGCTATTTCACATGCTAAAACAAAAAGTTCAATGCAGGAGGACCCTGTCACAGAAGGCTATTAAGGACAGGCAGCAACACAGACGCATCATCAATAAATGAATTAACTGCTATGAATTACTTACCAGTAGCATTCTTATTTATTTATTTATTTATTTAGTCGGAACCAGGGATTGAACTCAGGCCCTTGCGCTTGCCAGGGAAGCACTTATTCTACTGAGCCATCTCCCTGGCCTCTAGTAATTTTTTTTAAAAAACTAAGCAATTTAATTTTGTATTTTTAAGTACAGTTTAAGGATCACTGTGGAAAATACACTCTGTTTGTATTGGTTTACTGCATGTAATTCTTCTTAGTATATTTCTATTACATAGCAATTATATTCCTTATGTGGAGGTGGGGCATGGGCAGAATTTCTCCCCTCCCTCCATCTCTTAATCCCTTTCCCATTTAGAAAAGCTCTTCTTACTTCCTGTCATCTACCTTTCATCTTGATCTTTATATTCATGATTTGGATTTCTCATTTAAATGAGAAACTTAGGCTCAGGAGATAGCTCAGTAGAATAAGCACTTGCCTGGCAAGCACAAGCTCCTGAGTTCAATCCCTGGTACTGCAAAAATAAACAAACAAACAAAAATAAATGAGAAACTATGAGTATGGAAGCTCATGTGTCTGATTTACTTCACATAACATTATGGGGTCAAGTGCATCTATTTTTCCACAAATGACTCCAGCTTATCTTTCTCTTGGCAGAGTAGTGCAAATACTGTATTTTGTTTATTCATCTGTAGGTGGATATATAGGCTACTTCCAAGGTTCAGCTATTATGAACTGTGCTGCTGTAGACACAGGTATACATGTGTCACCGTAATATGATGTCTTTTACTCCCAAGAACTCCAAAACTTAGACCTCCCAAAATAAAAGACCCAATCAAAAGTGGGTAAGCAAAATGAATGGACCCAGTTCAGAGGAAGTACAAATACACAATGAATACAGCAAGAAATACTCAACACTGGTGGCTGTGAGAGAAATGCAAATTAGAGCAACACTGAAATTCCACCTTAGCCCAAAAGAATGACAGTCATCAAGAAATCCAACAATAACGAATGATGGCAAGACTACAGGGACAACAGGAACCTTTCCAAACTTTTGGTGGAGATGTAAAACAGTACAACCACTATGGAAATCAGTATGGAGATTCCCCAAAAAACTAAAATTAGAGATTCCCTCTGACCCTGCCGTTCCCCTTCCAGCTACTGTCCCAGAAGGTACACTCTCAAACAAGCAAATCTCCATGTTCTTTACATTTTAGTACACAATTTTAGCACACACCAATCAGTCAAAAGTGCCATAAATAATCTTTTGGAAGTCATACCTCACGATAGGAACAAAGCAGGAAGGATCGTAACCTATAAAGCTGAGAGTACATGCTCAGAGCACCAATCATTTCCTTCACAAAATCAGATATTAGTAAACACTTACAGAGCTAGGGAACTTACGTCACAGTCAACTCAGAAGCAGCCATTACAAACAACAAATAAAGCAAAGGCCAACCGGTTATGGCCCCAAAAATCAGAAGCAATTAACTTTGACAGATATGAAATCATTCAAACATGTCTGTAGTACCTCAAAAAAGAAATAGTATGTCAAAGTCTTAGAATCCCAGCGCTAGCCTCTGGCAGTGATGGCAGCTGCAGCTGACACTGAGACAAAAGAGTAGCATAAAAATGGCTCAAACTGAAATGAAATATTTTGTGCATTCAAAAATAAATATCAAAGACTTTTATACACAATACATGAGCTTCCACAGAAATAAATTACAATCGTCAGTAATACTGAAAGAACAGGAAGAATCAGAATTTGGACTGTTATTTCAAACTTTAAACAATATTTAAAAGGTATATATTCTGCAAAGAATATTATTCCATAAAGTGAAATGAAATTCCCTCTCTAGAATCTGTATAACTTCCACTGCATTTATTCACTTTCTTGCCACTGCTGGGACACATACTGTCAAGTTGACACCGAACACTAACATTAATACTCACTAAAGTAGAAAACATTATGTGAATGAAGTAAATGAAAATATGTGAAATGGGTTTCAATTGGGACTATTTTTTTTTAAAGTTCCTTTTCAGACAGATTATTTATTTATTTATTTATTTCAGAACCAGGGATTGAACTCAGGCCCTTGCGCTTGCCAAGCAAGCACTTATTCTACTGAGCCATCTCCCTGGCTCCCAATTGGGACTATTGATGATTTTAAAAGGTTATCCTGCAAAAAAGTCTTGTCAATCTTCTCCGTATCTTGAAACTTCAGCCCACAAAATATAGGTATTTTCATATTAATTGCAATGCTTTTATGGATAAAATTCTCATATTTATTATAAATTTCATTACTATTCATTCCATAAACTCTAATAAGTTCTTTTTAAATCACAGGTCACCATGAAAATGAATTTTTCACATCAGGAAGAACTTTATCTGAATTTATTTATTTATTTATTTATTTATTTATTTATTTATTTTCCGGAACCAGGGATTGAACTCAGGCCCTTGAGCTTACCAGGGAAGCACTTATTCTACTGAGCCATCTCCCCAGTCCCCTCATTTTATACCTAATGTTTAATCTTAACTCTTGTAGTGGAATAGCCTCCTTCTATCACTTGTAGTAGGATATTTAAGTACCATAATGACCTCAGTCAAATTTCACTTATAAAAGATACAGACCTTCAAGCGGGGGGGGGGGGTGCTTTATTGTTACTTTTTAAAATTTTATGTACTTGGTACAGGGTCTCACTATGTAGCTCGGACTCGTAGTGATTCTGTTTCAGCCTCCCCAGCGCTGGGAATGCAGGAATGTACTATCACACCTGGTCTTGGTGGCTAAGAGTCCCCAGGACAGGGCTGTCACAACAGGTAGGACAGGGCTGTCACAATAGGTGGTACTGGGGTCAAACCTGGGTCCTTGCGCTTGCCTAGGCAGGTGCTTAGGCTGCTGAGCACAACCCTGAGGCCCAGAGTGCTTTATTTCTGATCCTCTATTTCAAAGACAGTGCCTGATGTACTTTAGATATTTAAAATGTAAATATTAGAAATACATACAGATTGACTTAGTTGCTAGGATTTTTTTTTAAAGATTTCAAGATATGAAAAGTTTTACTAAATAGAATGGCATTTTCGCATAATTACTAAAATATCTGGCTGCAAACTGGTATGTTTACAGGCCAAGCTCTACTTGTCCATGAAAGATTACTAAAATTTCATAATCGTCTTTTTTTTTTTTTGCGGAATCGGGGATTGAACTCAGGCCCTTGGGCTTGCGAGGAAAGCACTTATTCCACTGAGCCATCTCCCCGGCCATAATCTTCTTTGTATATTATGTGATTTACACTGTTCATAACATATGTTAGGAGTACACTATAAGAACATAATCAACTTTTTAATGTATTTAGTATAGGGTCAACAGGATCTCACTACATTGATCACACTCATAGTGATTCTCCTGTTTGCAGTCCTTAAGTGCTGGGATTACAGGCGGCCAAGTCTCAATTGCCGTCTCAGTGAGTCCCTGAGGTGGGGCACTGCCTGTAGCGCCAGGGATCAATATGGCCCACCCTTTAAACATAATGAACTTTATTGTTTAGTACAGCGTCTACAGGGTCTCACTATACAGATCTGACTTGTGGTCTTCCTCCTGAGC